GTGAGAGTGTGAGAGTGTGAGAGTGCGTGTGTGTGTGGTTTGTGTGTGCGTGCGTGTGTGCGTGTGTGCGTGTGTGCGTGTGCGTGTGTGCGTGTGTGCGGGTGTGCGTGTGTGCGTGTGTGCGTGCGTGCGTGTTTGCGTGTGTGCGTGTGTGCGTGTGTGCGTGTGTGCGTGTGTGCGTGTGTGCGTGTGTGCGTGTGTGCGTGTGTGCGTGTGTGCGTGTGTGCGGGTGTGCGTGTGTGCGTGCGTGCGTGTGTGCGTGTTTGCGTGTGTGCGTGTGTGCGTGTGTGCGTGTGTGCGTGTGTGCGTGTGTGCGTGTGTGCGTGTGTGCGTGTGTGCGTGTGTGGGTGTGTGCGTGTGTGCGTGTGTGCGTGTGTGCGTGTGTGCGTGTGTGCGTGTGTGCGTGTGTGCGTGTGTGCGTGTGTGCGTGTGTGCGTGTGTGCGTGTGTGCGTGAGTGCGTGAGTGCGTGTGTGCGTGAGTGCGTGTGTGCGTGTGTGCGTGTGTGCGTGTGTGCGTGTGTGCGTGTGTGCGTGTGTGCGTGTGTGCGTGTGTGCGTGTGTGCGTGTGTGCGGGTGTGCGGGTGTGCGTGTGTGCGTGTGTGCGTGTGTGCGTGTGTGCGTGTGTGCGTGTGTGCGTGTGTGAGTGTGTGCGTGTGTGCGTGTTTGCGTGTGTGCGTGTGTGCGTGTGTGCGTGTGTGCGTGTGTGCGCGTGTGCGCGTGTGCGCGTGTGCGCGTGTGCGCGTGTGCGCGTGTGCGCGTGTGCGCGTGTGCGCGTGAGCGCGTGTGCGCGTGTGCGCGTGTGCGCGTGTGCGCGTGTGCGCGTGTGCGCGTGTGCGCGTGTGCGCGTGAGCGCGTGTGCGCGTGTGCGCGTGTGCGCGTGTGCGCGTGTGCGCGTGTGCGCGTGTGCGCGTGTGCGCGTGTGCGCGTGTGCGCGTGTGCGCGTGTGCGCGTGTGCGCGTGTGCGCGTGTGCGCGTGTGCGCGTGTGCGCGTGTGCGCGTGTGCGCGTGTGCGCGTGTGCGCGTGTGCGCGTCGCGTGTGCGCGTGTGCGCGTGTGCGCGTGTGCGCGTGTGCGCGTGTGCGCGTGTGCGCGTGTGCGCGTGTGCGCGTGTGCGCGTGTGCGCGTGTGCGCGTGTGCGCGTGTGCGCGTGTGCGCGTGTGCGCGTGTGCGCGTGTGCGCGTGTGCGCGTGTGCGCGTGTGCGCGTGTGCGCGTGTGCGCGTGTGCGCGTGTGCGCGTGTGCGCGTGTGCGCGTGTGCGCGTGTGCGCGTGTGCGCGTGTGCGCGTGTGCGCGTGTGCGCGTGTGCGCGTGTGCGCGTGTGCGCGTGTGCGCGTGTGCGCGTGTGCGCGTGTGCGCGTGTGCGTGTGCGCGTGTGCGCGTGTGCGCGTGTGCGCGTGTGCGCGTGTGCGCGTGTGCGCGTGTGCGCGTGTGCGCGTGTGTGCGTGTGTGCGTGTGTGCGTGTGTGCGTGTGCGTGTGCGTGTGTGTGTGTGTGTGTGTGCGTGTGCGTGTGCGTGTGCGTGTGCGTGTGCGTGTGCGTGTGTGTGTGTGTGTGTGTGGGTGTGCGTGTGCGTGTGCGTGTGCGTGTGTGTGTGTGTGTGCGGTGTGGAACCGCGGCAAGTCATATGAGGCCAAATCAGATGAGTCTAAGCAACACCAGAAAATGCGCGACAACTTGGCCAACGGACGGATGCCATCAAGGAAACCATGAGTGCCACGGGAGACCAAACAATCACCAGAACACGTGCAAGAGCCAGGCCCAGTGGAGCAGACAACTATATGCCAAATCACAGGAGGCCAAAGGAGGCCAAATCTCGAACAAAAATCTTGCGGCAACCAAACCGGGTTCCTGACAGCCCCATCAATCCGCCACCGTGTCTTCATCACCTCGTAGAGTGCACCGTTGCTCATCCACCTGTGAGTCGTAATATGGATGGTGATGACGTGTAATGTCTGGACGGGCTGCCCGCCGCCCTCCTCAAAACAGTGGCCCCTTTGCGGACCGCGCCCCAGGCTCCAGGCCCGTCGATGGCACTCATATCGGCCCTATGTGACCGACGACGGCATCCAAAACTCCAACATGACCTGATCTTGCAATGGGGGCCCTGCTGGAGCTCTCTATGGAGGCCTTTTGGGTTGTCGTGGAGGCTCGGGGGTTGGCGCAAGGTGCCCAAATCAGTGAACAACGCTAACATGTGTTTGATTCTCGCACATTCGCCTTTTCGGTCTGAGGGGCGTTCAAAACGCCCCCAAAGGGCTAGCAATATCGCCGTGCCACGGCCCTGGGGCCGCCTCGAGGGCCCAAAACAGGCCCTGAATATTACCCCAAGCACTCGCCATCGCTCGGACGTCCACTCCCCGTGCGTTTTTCGACTTCGTGCGTGCATTCTTCGCGAGATGATCCACGATGCTCCTCGACGGTCCTCGCCGAGCAAAAATGCACACGTCCGAGCGATGCCAAAAGAAAGGAAACTTGAAGGGGCCTGTGGGGTCCTAGAGGCATCCTATATGGGGTCCGAACAAATGGGGTCGAAGGATCGCGCCGTATCGTCGATGCATCGGCGACGTCGGCGATGCATCGGCGGCGTCGGCGTGGGGAACATCTGTTCCACATCGAGCCGAAGGGGCCTGTGGGGTCCGCCACCCCAAGGATTGAGCCCCGCGACCGCCTCCCAGCCCGAGCGGATCCCGGCCCCCGTTGCGACGGAACGCTCCCCGGCGGCGCCCCCTTGGAGTGCCCACGTCCTGTGCCTGCCAAGTCGGGCTGATCCTGGGGCTCTGCGAGGAACGAACGAACGACGAACGAACGAACGACGAACGAACGAACGACGAACGAACGACGAACGAACGACGAACGACGTCCGACCGAGCGACGAGTGACGAACGAACGGATGAACGAACGAACGTATGAACGAAAGACGAACGAACGAACGAGCGGCCACCAATGCGGACAGCTGTCCGGGCCTGCTGGAGGCAAAGTGAACGAAGCCGTGGCCTCCAACATACTACTGTGTATGGTGAAGCATGCCTGCGAAACCGATCAAGCATTCCGTGAAACGAAAGGGAGTGCCTAAACCAGCGCTTCGTCCCAGCTCAACACAAAATAATCCAAGGCGCCAAAACAGGCACACCGGCTGAAGCATCCCCCAATCTGGGCGCGAAGGGGGCTGTGATACACCCCTGGTTCCAGGGGGTGCCCCAATGCCACGCCTCCCTTGCAACCGCTCGGACGTCCATTCCCCGTGTGTGTGTGTGTGTTTTTCGGTGGCGTGCGTACATCTTCCGTAAGAAAGAGGATCCGAGATGCTCGTACATGCGCCCCCCCCCGCCCACGACATCATTACGCTACCGAGGAACCCAGCATATTTATAACCAGTATGGCGTGATGGTAACTGATGTGCAACTTGCGAGAATGATGCTGGTGGCCGTTGTTTCGCCGATGCCGTTGGTGGCGCTGGTCAAACCTTGGGAAGCTGACGCGCCGTGCGAACAACAGGCTGGGCCATGGCGACCACGAAAGAAAGCGCGGCTGTAGGTAGGCAAGCGGACGGCGCACGAGTATCGACGCGGTGGAAAGCTGCCTCGCAAATGCGCAAATTGACAATGCTAACCTGCACGCCTGCGTTTGTCATGGACTTCTTCAGCTTTAAACACGGCGGCGGCAGTGCGTCAATGACACATTTGGGCAGCATGGGCGGCGCGGGGGGCAAAACAGGGTGTGTACAATTCTGGCTGCCACGCATGCCGCGCCCTCCGACCGTCTTGGCGCGAGCAAGCAAGTGTAATCCCCCCTGGTGGCTTCTGCTTGGGTGTCCAAATGCCACGCCCCCTGTATCGCTATGATCGTGGGTCTCTCAAGGGATAAGGGTATGGGCCGCCAGGCAGGCAACCCGCCCGACACATCCCTGCAATTTGTGCGTGAGCGGGCAAGCTTGCCCGTCCGCGCCTAGATTGTGGGAATGTCTCAGGCATTGTGCTTGTTTGGTAGCCCAGATTCTTTCCTTCTGAGGGCACCAAGGCCAACACTGGATCCACGCTCCCGGGCTTCCAAGGTGGCCGAGGGCCGAGACGGCCCACTCTGCCTCCAAGACGGTCTACTATGGTCCCAGGGCGGCCCCAAATGGTCCCACTTTTTTCCATAACGGCACCCGAGGGGGAAAACCCGCCCAGACGCGCGGCAGGTCACGGTATCACGGCAGCTTGAGACCCAAACCACCGTCGCACAGGCACCACGGCCATCGACAGAAACGCACTGCTGCGGGGGGAGGGGGAGGGGGAGGATGAGGA